AAAAAGGCATTATAATTGTCGCATTTTAAATTTGATTTTTTTTACTTGAGTATTTTGGAATTAGCACAGGAGTGACCTTACCATTTGGGATAAACTATAAAAATCTGCACATCCTTGCCAAGAAGATGTAATTTTGGTTGTATTGAGTTTTGGAGTGGCGAAGGCAAAAAGTTGTAGTTAAACTACATGGGTTTCTTCTGAATCGTTTTTCCAACGACGTCTTCGAGATGATTTGTATAATGTTAGAAGTAGAGAAAGAAGTCGAGCGGTCAACGTTTTTAGCCCACTATTCAACTTCTACTTTGTCTTACGTGCTATGTGTCGTCGTCTTATAGCGCAAAATGGGTTTAACTCAGCTATGGAGTTTCACAATTTGTCCGACTTCTCAGGCATTTGCCACAACCATTGCTTTGAGCTATTTGCTATTAGTCGTAATATCTCCTGCACCGTCTTCATTTTCGAGGCCTCACTATCATCAAAATGAGCATCACTGTGCAATGTTCGTTAACACTCAAAGGGCGAGAAGAACTCGTCAGAGCTTGCCTCTGAGGCTTAGAATTGAAAAGAAGAATTGTCCGTATCTGTCTTGTTTGCGTTTATTTTTAGACCTCAAAAATTGTTGTAATTCTTATGTAAAACCAGTTCAATTTATAATGGATGAGATTGTAATGGGCTGTGTGTGTCAAGACAATTATCAAATCGCAAGCAAAATTCGCTTATCTTATTGAAAACTTAATACACTAGGTGCTTAGTTAAGCCCAATAGTGTTCTACTAATTTGTTGACGGAAGGATAATTTGTTATTGTTTGAAGAGATCAGAATGAATGAATATAAAAAAAGACAACCGAGGGCTCAGTTATTTTAGGCTAAAGAAGTAGATACTGAATATCGCAAACTATGTGAGGAACTCATCGAACGAGTTGGGGACCGATTTGTCTCTGCTGAAGTACAACGGATGCAACATCGGCTTGTTGCGAGCGACAATGATGCATCTTCGCTGACTCCGTCTGCGGTAGTGTCCGGTGAATTTGGTCGTCCGTCGTTAGATAGGCTTTCCGTAGGTAGCACTGTATCAGTTGGGCAGTACTCAATGACGGGCAACTCGCCACTTCGGATCATTCCCGAATTGCATAAACTTTGAAATCAAAATCACACGAGTAATTTTTTTAGTTTATATTTAGCTTCATGATTTTGTGCTTTTCTTGTGAGTATTTATTCTAAATCATGTGCTACTTCGTAAACAACACAGACCAGTGGCATTGCCTTTCTTCACTTTGGAAGCTCTTTCCCATTGTTATTAACATCACCTCTTGTTATAATATCTATCTTGTTCTCAGCAAATAATAATGTGCTTATCTATGCGCTCTTTCGGATAAAGTCTGGTGCAGTAAAGTTTCCGAGCATCCCACCTGTCAAGGATCTATCGCGTGTTCACTACTAACAAATTGTTCGTGGGTGGGAGATGTCTACAAAAGTTCATGTACTGGGCCATAATTGTTTTTCGTGTGGCATATGTATGTCGTTGCTGCACCCCAATAAAAAAAAATTCTTAAATTACACTACAACAAATTTAGATTCAGAAGCCCTTTTTTCTATCATCTTTCTTCATAGTTAACCATGAAATTTGAAGTAACTGAAAAAGCTTACATTTAGTAAGCCCCTTGGGTAACCTTAAATTCAGCGTTTTGGAGTACAAAAAGACGCAGTGCACTCGTCAGTGTCCAATCGACTCGTTGCTGCGGCCGTCAATCGATAAAGGCTGGCGCGCCCCCGCGCAGCGCACATGACCCAGCGTCAATTGCCTAGTCTCCAGTCTTCGTTCATGTTTGAATTTTCTCAACTTGTTTTGATCAAACTGGTTAACGTAGGCTCTCTGAGTTGCTCAAACGGCGAAAACATGTTAGACATGTCAAATATAACAATTTCATTGTTTTGCACCTGTCATGTCATG